TGTTTAACATCTTCTCCTCCCATGTAGCTTTGTTGCACCTGTTGGGATGGGACAGAATAAACCTTTGTCAGTTTAAAGAATCCAGTGCGCTCGGCTGCACAAAACAGCTGGGATTAAGTTAGGATTAAGGAATGAACCCAAAATATAAGCCTAAAAAACTGAAGAAGAAAAAGAGGAAAGCACATGAAACACTGGGTTAGGACCAGCCAGAGGCTGAGCTTCATCAAATCCTTTTGAGGAGCCTGTTGTCAAGGTTGTGCCTTTTGCTGTCTCGTGCACTGTGCTGACTTTCTGTTTGTGTCTGGACTGTGAATTACTGTCTTAAAACTCTTTATTGCCATCCATCTGACCTCTGAGCACTGTGTGTGTGTGTGTGTATGCAGGGCGATTGTGTGGCTGCAGAACCGTCGAGAGGCGACCATGGAGCGCACCCGACCGTCCACCACGGTGCGGCGAGATGATCCTGGAGAGTTCAGGGTGGGCCGACTCAAACACGAGCGAGTAAAAGTCCCCCGAGGAGAAGCCATGATGGAGTGGGCTGAGACCGTCATGCAGGTCCATGCCGAAAGGAAGTCCGTGTTGGAGGTGAGAGGTCAACAGAAAACGGCTTTAAGAAACAGTCGTTGGTTTGTGTTTACTGTTGTTTGAGCACTGAGTTGAAACTGCTTCATCAGCAGGTAATTTTCTCATTGGCTGCAGAGATGTACATGAAATGAGGTTACTGTGTGTGTAGAAACTATTTAACCAGTTTTTCCAGGGAAACCCACTGAAGGTAACGGCCTCTTCTACAGTGGCGCCTAGCCAAGACGGCAGCGTGTACATTTTAAAGCCTCAGTGTTGTATGTCGTTCCAACAGAATTACAATCTAATTGGGATTTCATAATTTGTTTGTTGAATATAGTAACGCCATAGACCTGTTCGTATGACCATTCTGTACTGGCTGTCCCACAGCACCAGCATGTTGCTCTCCTACGTCTCTCTCTTCCTGGCCCTCTCCTGCAGGGCTGAACACGGCACTACGCTGACACTGATTTAACCTACATATTTTAAATCAATGTTGATATTGTGGCAGCCCACCACACATAAGTCAATGTATGGGAAACACTGGTTATATGAAGCATCCCAGTGTGTCTTTGCATCTTTTCTGAATGTTTTTCTTGCATTAAAGCTGCTTTGCCTGCCAACTCTTTATCATGGACACATGAGAACTCCCTGACTGTCCAGATTCATCTGTAACAAAGTGAAGGACCGTAGGTGCATCCCACAGCTTTCTCACTCCATGTGTATGTGTGTCCAGGTGGAGTTCCAGGGTGAGGAGGGAACAGGTCTTGGTCCGACCCTGGAGTTTTACGCTCTGGTGGCAGCAGAGTTTCAGAGAACCTCTCTGGGAATCTGGCTGTGTGATGACGACTTCCCCGATGATGAGTCACGGCAGGTCAGACACAGTCAGTCAGTAACCACAGTGAAATATGGAGCAAGGCGCAGTGTTTCAGATTAGCTTTCATGCTCCCCCTCTTTTGTTTAGCCATTTGATTCATACATAGAATCAGTAATCGTATATTTATTCCTTAGTGATTCTACAAACAGATTGTACTGTGTTCTTAACTGACTTCTCAGAGTGTGAACTGTGAAAAGGGGCATTTCTTCTGCCAGGTGTGCAGTGTGAGACAGCCCAGGTGCACTGACGTGGCATATCAGGCTTTAACAGTTCACATGAAGTAGCAGCCCTAGTATGTAGTGTGGGATTATTGAACAGCTGCCACTTTTTAAATGGATTTAAACTCCTTAAAGTGGTTTTGAGGTGTAAGTTACCAGAGTAAAAGAAACAGCAGCAGAGGTTTAGTTCTAACAGCCTCCTCAGCAGACTGAGTCGTGTCCTGTGCTTCAGGTGGACCTGGGCGGCGGTGTGAAGCCCCCTGGTTTCTACGTGCAGCGGTCCTGTGGCCTGTTCCCAGCTCCGTTTCCTCAAGACAGTGAGGAGCTGGAGCGAATCACCAAGCTCTTCCACTTCCTGGGCGTCTTCCTGGCCAAATGCATCCAGGACAACCGGCTGGTGGACCTGCCTGTCTCGCAGCCCTTCTTCAAGCTGCTCTGCATGGGAGACATCAAGTCCAACATGAGCAAGCTGCTGTACCAGTCTCGCAGCTCGCCGCAGGGCCACGACCCCGAGCGGCCCCACCTGCAGCCCTTCCTGCTGCTGTCCGAGGTGCAGTCAGAGGCGTCCACCGAGGAGAGCCAGGAGACCTACTCTGTGGGCAGCTTCGAAGAGGACTCCAAGTCTGAGTTCATCATGGACCCACCAAAACCCAAACCACCCGCCTGGTACCACGGCATCCTGACCTGGGATGACTTCCAGCTGGTCAACCCACACAGGTCAGATGGCAGTGATCAGCAGCTGGGCCACATCTAGTTCTTGGTATTAACAGATCAATTACAAAGTACAGATTCATTTCAAAAAAAGTCAGCATTTCTTCTCTTCTCCCCCTCCCCCCCAACAGATCAATTACAAAGTACAGATTCATTTCAAAAAAAGTCAGCATTTCTTCTCTGCACCCCCTCCCCCCCTCCCCCCCAATTACTCCTCCTCTAGGGCGAGTTTCCTGAAGGAGGTGAAGGAGCTGGCAGTAAAGAGGAGGCAGATTCTGGCCAGTAAGAGTTTGTCTGAGGATGAGAAGAACACTCGCCTGCAGGACCTAATGCTGAGGAACCCGCTGGGCTCCGGACCCCCCCTCAGCATCGAAGACCTTGGGTAAAACACACAGTGTGATCGGTGCTCAGTGGTCAGATACAGCTGCTGGTTGTCTGTGTTGGTCAACAGCAGTGTGGTTGAAACAAACTGGAAAAAGGCTGAAGTTGTGTTGTAGCAGCTGAAATGTGCACGGTTTAAAAACACTCCACGAAGGTGAAAAAAGAAAAACTAAAACATTTACCACAAACTCGATATAGAGCACGACAAAGCGCACGAACCTCTGAGGACAAACGTCTTCACCGGTGTCTGACGGCACAGCCTGGTGAGGTCAGACTTGTTGACACGATCCTGAAGTTTCTCTGTGCTTAGTTGTTCCACTGCCTGTACTACTCTACTCGTATGTAATACTGTTTGTTTCACAGTATTTAAACCAAATAGCCTCCTGTTTGCAGATGACAGACAGAACTAGCCTTTTTCTGCCACACACCTGAATCCTGACCTTCCTGAAGATCAGCAGCAGCAGCACGTGTCTGATCAGTCTCGTGACTCGAGTAACGTTTCTGTCTCCGCAGGTTAAACTTCCAGTTCTGTCCGTCGTCCAAGGTCCACGGTTTCTCAGCTGTGGATCTCAAACCAAACGGAGACGACGAGGTAATAACACACTGTTTGTAGCCGTAGATGTGACATCAAGACACACGCAACATTTTCTCCATCTGGATAAATAAATGCTCGTAGGATCAAGTTTCCAGTCAAAATGAGGTTTTTTTGTGCTTTGACACCGACGACTGTTACACAGTCGTCGGTGTCAAAGTGGGTGTGAATCTTTATTGAAGGTGTGCACCTTGTTTGTGTTGCTGTGTGTAGATGGTGACGATGGAGAATGCAGAGGAGTATGTGGAGCTGATGTTTGATTTCTGTATGCACACCGGCATCCAGAAGCAGATGGAGGCCTTCAGAGGTAAACGCACACACCGACATCTGAATCCACTGCCTTCACACTCACGCGGCTGCAAACAGCATAATGCGTGAAGACAGTGACCTGATACCGGCATCACGCGTGTCGGTATCGGTTCATTAACTGAACACGAGGTTCTGTTAATGAACTGTCGTGGGTTTTACCGTTTGTTCAGATCAGACAAACTGATAATTGTCCTGCTGTTTCTCCTCCTCCTCAGAGGGTTTTAATCGAGTGTTCCCCATGGAGAAGTTGAGCTCTTTTAGCCATAAGGAGGTTCAGATGATCCTCTGTGGTAACCAGTCACCTTCCTGGACAGCTGATGACATCATAAACTACACTGAACCAAAGCTGGGTTACACCAGAGACAGGTGCGTCCCCACACACCTCAGTATTCACCTGCTGCTCAGGTACACTCACTCACTTTCTCCTCCTCCTCCTCAGTCCGGGCTTCCTGCGCTTCATCAGAGTTTTATGTGGGATGTCGTCTGATGAGAGGAAAGCCTTCCTGCAGTTCACCACCGGCTGCTCCACGCTGCCCCCCGGTGGCCTGGCCAACCTGCACCCTCGCCTCACCATCGTCAGGAAGGTAAACGCGGCTCTTTGTCCTCCTCAGCATTAAAAACCTGAAAAGTTCAGTTTACCGTGACAATGTTGTGATGCTTAAGAAGCTGGAACCAGCCAGTTTACTTTTTGTTCATTGATTCCTAATCAATGAATTGTTGCAGCTCAGGTCATTTCCTGTTTGCACTCTGTCTCTTTGTTGCTTCTGCTCTTTCTCTAGTTTTAGACAGTTCTAGGCCTGTTTTCTTGCATGAATCTGATTGGCTGCTGCTTTGCCCTTAGGTCGACGCCACAGACTCGAGTTACCCATCAGTCAACACGTGCGTTCACTACCTGAAGCTTCCTGAATACTCGTCAGAAGACATCATGAGAGAGCGCCTGCTGGCCGCCACCATGGAGAAAGGCTTCCACCTCAACTGAGCTCCCGCCTCTGCTGCACTGAGCATGCTCCACTCATCGCTACGTGATGGACAGATCAGCCAGCTAATCCAAACCAGCCGACTGACGGACTCACCGCCTGCTGCAGGAGGGGGAGGAGGGTTTATGTTGCAGACTACAATGAAATGAACGCTCCCTCCTCACATCCTCAGCACCTCCTCTCCTTCATCTTCATCAGCAGCATCCTCCTCCTCATCCACCTGAGCTGCTGTATTTCTGTTGCTGCAGGCTGGTGTGTGTGTGTGTGTGTGTGTGTGTGTATGTATGTATGTATGTGTGCGCGCACATGTTGACCCTCCGAGTGTCTCCTCAGTTTAGTGCCTGCTTCGACTCATAGCTTCTGTTTCGGTTTCTCCTTCAGTTGTGCCTCTCCTCCTCTTTAGTTTTTGTTTCACTGCTTTTTGTTTCCGAGTGTGTGTGCGCGACAGTTTTCAGGTTGTTTCTGACTGGTTGTAGAGGTCAAAGGTCGGAGAGCATTTGGTGTTCTTTTACAATGAAGCTATAGAGACAGAAACACTGCTTGTGTGCGAGGCACATCTAAAGAGAGGAAGCTCTGCTCTCCCTTGTATTTTCTTTGTATATTATAAACATTTATTTAACTGAAGTTGCAGTTTGAGGTAAACGGATATTTTCAAACGTGTATGCTCCAGAAAATAATCATTAAAATGTTTGCAAAGTATGAGGTAAAGATGAAGTCCTGTGGTTTGTAAAGGAAATCGAGGCATCATTGAAACTCCACAGGCTGCAGGTTGGGGCCAGGACGAGTCAGGAGATGTGAACGCAGCCGTTTCACAGGCTCAGGGGCGACGACTGCGGAGTGGCCAGGTAAGCACCAGGCCCCTGCTGAAGACCGAGTGGAATGCTGAGGCAGCAGAGTTTTTTTTTTTTTAACCGGTTCATGTTTCTAATGCGCATGTTCACACCAGATCTTTACACTTACACATCAAGACGATGCATGTGGACGTCAGACCTTAAATGTGCTAAGGAGGATTTCTCTGTGGTGTCAGGACGCTGAGTGATGCTCGGCCGTCAGTGTAAGACCCGGGGTTTCCAGCTGCCTGGGACTGTGACACTTCACCGAGCTGATAAGTCCTCAGTTTCTATTCGATACTATGCTGTAGTCTACTGTAGTTCCCCTGAGTCACAACCCCAGCAACTTTGTTCCTGTCTGCCCTGGTTTCAAAACCTGAACAGCACTAGTTTGGCCAGAGACAAAAAAAGGTTTATTAATGACAATAGCAGCGGTGTCACTGTGCAGGCGATGCAGAAAACCAAACTGGTCGTCCAGTCGTGTGAAGCTGCTTTTAAAGTCTTGGCCAGATTTAAACTTGAAGATGCTCTAATTTATATAAGGAGCGACATGTTTTTGGTCTGAGACAGAAGACAGCAGCTTTATTATCAGCCCACACACCAACCCTGTGAAATATTTTAGAACCAGCCTGACGAGCACAACACAAACTAAAGACTTTAGAATCAGGACCTGCCCTGGCTGATGTTGGGAGCAGAATTTCTTCAGACATTTGCACTTAATGAAATTCTGCTGATTTCTAGTGACAAGTTTAAAGTCCAGCCTCTAGTGCAAGATTTCTCCCTGAAAATATCATTTTCACTTACTGGATTCAGTAAATGCAAACATCTGCATCAAGATACCATTTTGTCAGCAGATTTCCCTGAAAACTGACTTGAGAGAACAGAGACACTGGTTCCTCTGCTGTCAGATATTGTGTGCACCTTCACACTAGTTCTGACTCAGCCCGGGCTCCAGGTTCGGTTCCTTGAAGTCCTAGCTGCTGGTGTCAGTCTGTGACATCATTTCTTGTCTCAGCTGTCGGTCATCTTGTCGATGGCGGTGAGCGGAGTGAGGACTCTGCTCTTGTTGGTTTCCACGATGTGTCCGTTCTGGATCATCTCGTCCAGGATGATGTGAACTCTGTCCAGGTTGAACATGATCTGAAGACATGGGGTCAAGGAATCCCAACATTCCACATCTGGAATTTTTTTTTTAAATTCCAGTAAAATGTGGGGGAAGATTTCCACTTTAAAATCTATTGCTGACATCAAACTCGACCTACTCCTGCTTGTTCTGTAGCTTCTGACTGGATCGCACAGTCCTCGGCCACAAATTGAGCTCACTCAGCTGTGACCAGATCAAAAGCCAGAAAATAAATGGACCTTGAGTTAAGAAGAAGCTGGTGTTACACTTCATCTTCTTTTTAGAAGTGATTTAACTACAAATTCTATCTGCAAGCACACAAACATTTTCTTAAGACAACAGTCCCTTTTCTTGTTCTTGTACAGTATATTGACTGTTAGCACTAGCATCATGCTAACAGAGCAGTGTGTGGTCTGAACAAAGGATACGTCCAGTTCACTCTGTTGGGAAACAAACACACAACTGGTTATTAAACTGAACACACAAAACAGCTGCTCTGTGTGTAACGATGCTACAGTAAGAACCTGAACACACCATGTGCCCCCGCCTTCTGATTATTAGTTGTGTTGAGGCCTGTTATTATTCAATCTACGTGGTAATGGATGCTCATCGTCAGCCATGTTTTATTAATAAAATACTTTGAACAAAATGTATATATAGTAAATTATGACTGAAAAATAAATAAATGTAAACTAAATGGAGGCCATGCGTGTTTCAAATCCATCTCCTATGACACCTGTCTGACAGTGAACTTACCACCCGGCTGAAGTATTTATCCAAAACCTCCACGAAATTATGGACCAGCTCGTAGATGGACAGCTCGTTCTGTGGGAGAGGGGGCAAAATATTTGCTGCTCTTGGTATGAATGGACCCACAAATGATAAAAACTGAGATTTAGAACCATTACACAACAGCTGTTTGACACTCACACCTGCTTCTTACTGACTTTCTTAGGCTGCATCCACATCTCAGGTCCTAACACTCAGATCTGATGCTTGTGTCACTGCTTCCCATCTGTGTGTGTCAGCGCTGTGAACCCAGCTCCGGTGTGAACACCGCTGAGCTGAACGCACAACAATAACAACCAGGTAGTGTGTGTGATGGTCAAATGGCCCAGTTTCCTCCCAAACCACTGGGTTACGATATGTTCCTCCCAGTTTGTCCTGATCAGAAGCTTCTCCATAAACGTCCACCACATGTGAAACATCCTGGTCTCTCCACTGACCCCGTCACTGTCGTCGCTCTCCTCCATGTTTATTGTTACCGGTCCGTGAGGGGCCAACGCAGAATGATGACGACAGGCCGTATGTGCAGAGGAGGAGACGTTAAAATGACCACATGGATTCTGATCTGATGTTCTGACGGCGCTGCACAGTCAGAGGTTGGAGAGGAATCAGGTCTAGGAGCACATACACAGGTGGCCCAGATCTGGTTTGGTCTGTTCACACTGCTGTGGACACATCGGGTCTGAGTCACTTCAGCTCGGATGTGGATGCAGCCAATGATTGACAGATAAAAACAAAACAAGATTGGATTTATGGAGGTGTGATAACCTATGGCCTGTGTGTCTATGTTGTCTCTTCTCCCATCAGGACCAGTAATGCAGGCTAACTGGGAGCACTTGGGTCCAGGTTCATTCATGAAATAAACTACAGAATTTCCCAGGTCTCACCTCACTGTCTGTGACTCCAACCACGATGTACAGAGCAGCATACTGACGGTAAACCAGTTTGAAGTCTTTATACTCCACAAACGAACACTGGAAGCACACAAAAGCACAGTTACAGGAGCCACTACTGCTGGCAAACTAAACGTCATGTATACCTCAGGTACCTGGTCTTTATGGCGACTGAGGCAGCAGCGAACTACGTCGGCCTCCAGCGCTGCTCTCCTGTTCAGCTCCACAGGTTGATAATACCTGGACAGTCTGGTCTGGCCCTGCCGGTTCACCATCAGCACGAACTTGATCATCCCGGGATCGGCCGCGTCCACAGCTCAGAGAAGTCGTCAGTTCATCAGAGCGTCCACCCACAGAAGACTCATCTGCAACTGCTCTGATAATTAATTCATCTTTTTAGTTATTTTTCAGTTCGGCTACACACGTTTTATTTTAATAAGTAAGAGAAGTTCAGCTAATTTTAATCACGTACTGTATGTGCTTTTTGGAGCCGCAACCATTTGCTCAAAGCCGTTCAACAGACAGACACAATCCATTGTAACCGTAACGGACTCTTTCCAGTCAAACAGAATAAAACTATGAATAAAACAATCTTCAATGAATTCAGTCTCTCAAATGACCGGATCTGATGATTTTGTCGCATCGGTGTAAAGTTATGACAGTAGTAATAAAACAACCAGTTTACATTGACAGAAGACGTGTTTACTGGGAAGTCCGAGCACTTGAAAGCATCACACCGCAGTGTATTCACACTGAATTAACTCCTGAATTATAGTTATAACAACGTTTATAAATATTGAGTAAGACCTCAATGCAACGATTAACATGTCGATGTCACCTACTGGCTATTAACTCGAATGTTTTGTGACTTACCAGCGCGTGCTAGCTTGTATCTGCAAAGCAGCTAAGGTTAGCTGCCTAAATGAGGCTAAAAACAACAGGCTAACCGCTGTTAGCTTGTTTTCTGATTTTATGGCTGTTTCAACACATCGCGGTGGTTCAGGGTCTAAAAATTAAATCTGAGACGTTAGAGTTGTATAACTAGGAACAAACGGGAGTGTTTTCTTTATCACGATAAGAAACAAACTTGAGTTGTAAGCTTTTCTAACGCATGCTCATTAAGGCCTTCATTTGGTGCGTTCATGGATAACAGAGTAAATTGTAAATAGGATCTTTAAGGTTTAGACCGGAATTTTGATTGTTTGCTTCTCTCTGACTTAACGGAAAACCAATAAAATAATATAAACAGAAAATATTAAGACAATGGACTAACAACAGCACAGAAAATCAAAATGCATTTCAATATAATAAAATACCGTAAAGACTGAATGCATTCTAGACATTTTCAAATACAGCTCATCCAATCTGGATTGAAGATTTATAAATGTAGTAGTCTGACTCAGTCATGGGTGTTTTCTTACAACATTCATCAATATCTTGTACCAGTTAACATTCCTGTTCTCTTATTTTGTGCTTACTTTTTCCCAAATGGAAATGAGATGTGCCTAACTTTAATTTAAATTTTAAAACATTCCCATGTGATACAATAGCTACAGGAGGGGATAAGGCTTGAATTTGTTTGAACTCTCACTTTGCCCTTAAAGATCGAAAAGTAGAGGGATAGGTTAGTTAATGCAGCGTTAAGTATAAGTAGTTACACAATGGTGTAAAAATGCTCCATTACAAGCAATTCTGCATTTAAAATCTGGCATTACTCATTCTTCAGAACTTTTAGTACACTGGAGTTGATTGCACTAAAATTATATTTTAGTATATCATAAAGATATACTTAAAGTACCAAATGTAATTAGTTCTACAGAAAAAAATGGCCCCTTGGGTCTCTAGGTCTGTGCCCAGTAGGCCCCATAACCCCCCTGTTATGTTGTGGGTCAAATTGACTGACCAATTGTAAAGTAAAACATCTAAAAACAATAGTTAAAAGTATTTTATTGGTATGAAACGTCTGCTTGGCTTGATAGGTGTAATCAACATATAAAATGAAAATTGTTCATTTCACATAATCTGCTATTCTTTATTGGAAAAAAAATTCCTTCAACATCGGATTCGAACGGCAAAGGGGCCTACAACACACACCAGCCGACAAATATTAACATTTATTATATTTTATGGTTAACTTTTTTTTCTTTTCAAGATTGACCTCCCCTGACCGCACGTCACTGGTTAAAGTGGGTGAACTGTGTACTGAACTCTAGGCAAACGCTGCTTGCAATACTGTTCCGTTCTATGGAATGTTCATGCAATTTCCTACGGTTTCCCTACGCCCTGAATGTGACAGGAATGAATCTCCGGGATGGAGCTGTCCCATCATGCAGCGCGGCTGGGTTCTCGGTGCTCCCACTGTGATCATTATTTCCAGGGAGAGAGAGAGAGAGCAGTAATGGCGGCCGGTTAGCTATACACACACAAACACTGTGCCCGCAATCAGCCGCACTCACCGCAGCCCTCCGGGGGCAGCCAGTCTCACACGCCGCGGCGGAGTTAGTGCTACAGACACGGAGCGGAGACACGGGTTTCGGGGGGGACGGGAATCCTTCAGCGGACCTTTGCTGCCTGGGACTGTCCTAC